TTAAACTCTCAAGTTTTATATGTGTACAAGCATATTGCTCTTTGATAATTTCCTTCTAGTACTTATTTCTTGACTGCTCACATTTTTACTATGTGATGATTTTTAAAATGTTATTCAAAGTTAGTTGACTTAATTCACTTAACAGATTTTCCTGTAACTTCTAGTTGAATAGTGTCCTTTCTGTATAGGCCCTCCAGTCCACCAGCACAGAATAGAAAGAGGCTCTTATTTCATGAAATGTGAATTTTTGACAATATATAATTTTTTTAAGAACTTTTGACCAGCACTCTCACATGACTGACACATTCTCACCCTGTTTTCTGTGTTCCATCTGTCTTTCTGCGGGTGTATTCATCCTCTATTTCTGAAAGTAGTTGACTAAGAGAATGCTAAGCACAGAGAAAGGGCAATCCCCCCCCCCAAAAAAAACCCCAGAGAATTATTTAATTTTGGCTTATGCTACTCATTTGGTGGAGGTCTCTTACACCAGGGATGAGCAATGCCACCACTTAGGTTGGGCAAATCCCCAAGATATCATTTGACTTGATAGAGGCATGAGAGCGAATACATCACTAATGCCCAGAGTCACTCTCTGTGAACATAAAAATGGCAGTTTATTCCACTCTAGTTGAGTTCAGGAGCTATCTCTAAAAATAGTCTCAGATAAAAAGTCAATGAAAGTGCAAGTCCAATTTTCACTAATTCTCCTATTAGTGAAATTTCTACATTCTACATTTTCTATCAAGAAAAGAGGGTTTCTTTTTTGTGAGCATGGGGGTATACCTACATTAACTCTCTGGTCCCTACAATCCTTGTAAGGGGCCAGGCATTACAATAACTCTATGGTACAGTACAGGACTCCTGAGAAAGAAAGGTTTTACAAGTTCCTTTAAAATTATAACTAACCTTTACAGTTACAGCTTATACTGACATTTAAATAGTCCACAAGACTGGACATCCTCATGTTCCTAGTAAATTGATAATGAGAACATTAAACAGATAACAAAGAAGCATGCCCGCGTAGATGTTGAATGACACAATAAGGAAAATGTAAATAAGCATCATCTTTCTCTTAAAGTAATAACCTGTGATCACAGAATCCTAGAATTTTAGAGATGATGGGAACTTCATGCTTACTTAATTCAAACTCTTTCATTTTATGCAAGAAGAAAAGAATGGCCCAGAGAAGTTGTTACTTTCCCCAGATCACACAATTAATTAGCTTCAGAAGTATAATTAAAATCTGATTTCCATTTCACCATTTCCTTGACAAGATGTAGAAAAATTAGAAGTCATTGATCTGTTCCACATTAGATTGCTGCTTTGTTTCCCTTTTGGCTTTGTCACTCTGGATTTAAATTTCCCTGCTATATGCACTCTAGTTCAAGGAGTTACTGCCTCAACCACAGAAATATCCTGAGAACCAGAATCACAGTCTGACCATCTCATTTCCTCATCAAGAAATGTAGGCCCAGTGAAAGTCTGAAACTTGCCACAGTAAAAGAATGAGACAGTGTCTAAGGACAGCCTGCATCCCTGTCTCCTTTTTTCTTTAGAGTTCAGTGGACTTTATTGCAATCAGGTTCATTTCATGCTATTTAAAGCATTAACATATTTTTTACATATAATAGCATGATGAATTCTTTCACAAAGCAAGTAATCACATTTATATATCTGCCTCAATTTGAATTTTCCTAGTAAGGTGTGTGTGTATAGACTGAAGCATGGTACACATGTAGCCAATAAATTGTAGCCATCTAATGACATAAAGGAGAAGGAAATGGCAACCCACTCCAGTACTCTTGCCTGGAGAATCCCAGGGACGGGGGAGCCTGGTGGGCTGCCGTCTATGGGATCACACAGAGTCGGACACGACTGAAGTGACTTAGCAGCAGCAGCACTGACATAAAATCCTTATTCTCCCCTTCCATGGCCTAATACACTCTTCCTCCACCTCCTTAGCATCCTCCCTCTTGTCCATTCCAAGTGCCTGCCTGTGAGGGAAATAAGGACCATTATTATTTCCATCCTTTCTCCCTATAACAATTTCCCCATTGATTCAGCAAGATTGTGGGGTAAGGACTATGAGCAGTATGATTTATGTGATAAGTTTTTACTCTATTAAACAACACTCTATTTTAAACATTGCTTCTCTTTTTAACTGGACTTAAGACTCCAGAACTAAAGAGACAGCTAGAGAAATGGTGCATGTATATTTTGGAGCATACCCTAAGATGAGCAAGTTTAGATTCATCCTGGGTTTTAGCAACTCATTCTGATCCTATGCATCATCAAAGATTCCTTTATTTCCCTTCCTTGTTTTCCCCTCCCATGAGTGGATCTACTGTTGAATCATGTCCATGCCATTCAATGATTATCTCATTGTAATGAGGTCAGAGAGGAGCAACTTACTCCTGTTTGCACTGTTCCCAACAGCCATGAAAGACTATGTCTTCATGCCCCCAAACTGTATTAATACAATGCCCAATCTTTCTTGAAATATCTATAGCAGAGTAATGAAAACCATTTTAGTGAAGTGGCTGTCATTTCAAGATACCAATAAGTGAGCTACAAAAAATAATGATGCTATTAATTTAATATGCACTTCATAAGCATTAACTGAATGATTGTAGGTATTAGTAAAATAACCAGACGTCATGTACTATTGGGTACTAACTGCTCGAGGAAGGTAAAACACATAGCACTTTGTTCCACCAGAGAAGTAAGACCTGACTGGAAATCTCATGATGATTCTATAATATGGTTCAGCTATATCCTGAGTAGAAAAGATTGAAATATACAATTCAGAAATCAACCACAGGTTTGGTAGTTTAACCCTCACTATAAAAACTAAAAAATGGTTTAGAGTATGACTGAGCATGGTCTCTACAGATACATTCAAATACCAGTTCTTACTATGTAACTTTGGAGAAATTATTTAAACTCTATGTACTTCTGTTTTCTCACCTTTAAAATGGGTATAATAATAGTACTCACCTACAAGGATGTACTTTTTGAGGATAAAATGAATTGAAATACATAATATAAAACCCTCAGAGCAGAACATGATATATTATAAATGTTCAGTCAATATTCTCTACTATTACAGGAAACCAATGTATTCATACAGTAAACCCAGTAAAGTTGTTTTGCTTCTGCTTTCTCAAAGTCTTATGATACAATTGCACATTGTATTATTAACTCACCATCTAACTCATTATTAACAAATAACAAGCTCCTAATCATTGGACTGTTGGAATTCTTGCATGCTTTACCTATGATCGTAACTGTCACTTAATTTTTAGGCATTCATTAGCTTCAAATATTCCATTGCCCAATATAAAAAAAAAGTAAGAATGCTCAAATTTTCTAATTAGACAAAATGAAACACTGACACAGAATATACTTTCAACGATCATACATGTGTTCATAACATCTCAAGTCCTTATTGGAAAAATAATCTTCATTCCAGAAAGAACATGAATAATTTTTTATGAAATAAATCACTATAACTTCATTTAAGGAGACTGACAAAAATAGTTCAAACTATTTGTATGCAATGTTTCTAACATAACACACTTCATGAGCATGCTGAGGAACGTTTACAGAGCACAGACTATATAAGCCATCAAACTGTCACCAAACATTTACTGAGCCCCTATGTCCATAATGATGATGATGTCTGGTAAAGCACTATTGTTAGAAATCTCTAAAACTAAAATGGAGCTGGCTTTTATTCTAAGCCTAGTGTATTTTTAAATCAAGCCACAGGGAAATGATTACTTTTGTTTCTATTCAACCAAGACCTGAACACAGAGTTTATGGAATGACATAATATCCTTCCTGAAATCAGACCGGTATGTAGGACCAGTATCCTTCACACATAACCAGTTCCTGAACCTTTAAAAACAAATCCTAATTTCCAAGGAAACAATCTCATCAAATGCTGCTCACTAGAATACATATTGTTCCTTTTGGAAACATTACAATAAGATTTTTATGATTACGAACCCCAGCTTCCCCTCTAAAATTCAATATAATCTTAAACTCATTTAAGTGGAAGTTGTATTTTTGTAATGGCTCTAGAAAATCCTGGTCGATTTATGTATCACCAATATAATAATTGAGCTATTTAGTTAGTCTGCAAGGGGCTGGTTATAAACTTCATAAACATATTGTATACGCGTAGGTATGTGAGTACGTCTTTTAAATGGGCAACTGAAGTTTCTTAGGAATGCTCATCTTTCTACTCTACACAAACCTATTCTAAGATAAACAGCACCTTTTAAACTATTTCTGGAGCATAAAGAGTTTTAGTGATTTCCCCCCGCCCGCCTTGAGAATAAAAAGGGACACCTAGCAGCTTGTAATCAGTATCCTCTCCTGTCTGCCTTACAAAGCTGGTGCTTCTGTCACAAGATTTGTTTTGAGGTTAGCAGACACTTTTATCTTTTACTAGAAGAACAATATCAACAGATCAGTGGCAACTGCTGACATAAACGTACAAACAGGCAGAGAATGTGACTTTGGTTGTCAGCCCAAGGGCCTTAAGAATAGAATTTTAACTTTCTCCTGTCACTAACAGTGTTCTAAAGAATCTTGGCAGGGTGGAAGTTAGTTCTTCCCCCTCTCCCAATTAAATAAACAAGTGTCCAAGTTTTAAATGTGACAGAGTGTGAGGAACCTGCTGAAAAGCTCCTAAAATCCGTACTGAGGAAACCCCTGTCTCATTTATTCTGTAGACACACATTAAGTCTCGGAAATTGATGGTTCACTGTCCCATCCTGAAGTTTTCTGTGGACTTTACCGTTGAGTTATGTGGCAGCTAAGTGCTGTCACTGTTTGCTTAAAACGGCAGCATTTCTGAAAGGTATGCGCGGCGTGGCATAGAAATCCATGTATTGTAAAGTGAAAACAGTCATTTTTAAAAACGGGGTTAGCATGAAAGAGAGCCCACAGAAATCAGAATTAGCAACAGCCTTCCACTACCAGCGACTCACCTTGTTGAATTTTAGTCACTAGCTGATGGCGTGCTAGAATCCGGCTCATCCTGTAAGGAGAGCGTCTCGTAGTCTGATCAAATCGCAAATACATCTCCTGGCCCTCAGGTGTCATGGCATTTAGATAGTAGCAACCTGAAGCTGGGGTCCGGGGTCCCTGACTCAACATCCCGGCAGACTTTCTTCTGCCCCCTCAGTCTGCCCTTGTGGCGGTTTCCGTCTGCCTCCAGCCTCAGTCACTGAGCGAGGCACCCAGCCCGGTAGAGCTCAACAGACCCAGCGATTTTTAAAAAAAAGAAAAAAAGGAGTGCCAGGAGCCACAACTCAGAATTCCAGCCCTCGGCCCCCACGTGACCTCGCAGACCCAATCGGAGGGAGGCAGGAGCCGGGACGGGCCGCGCCCGGCCGCGAGCCCGGGAGAGGCAGGTCCTGCAGAGCCGAGAGCGGCGCGGTGGGGAAGCCCACGCGAGCGCGGCCCTGCGCTGTGGCCTCGCCCTGCCTCCGAGCTGTCGAAGCCCGGAGAAGCGGCCCTCACTGGGAGTTCAGAGGAGAAGAGACAGGGAGGAGAAAACGGCAGCAGAGGGAAAACAATGTCTGGGCACCGGAAAAATCTTTCTGGTGGTAAAGGTTAGGGAAAGCACGCTCGCCTTCTCCAGGGCAGCTGCAGCCCAGCCGGGTAGAAGATCTGGGTGTGACAAGCGACGTACGTGAAAAGCCGCTTCCCATAAGCATAAAGCTCTGAGTATAAATTACCACCCTTCATTACAAAGAAATAAATAAAGTTTGTCCAGTGAAGAGTAAACTTGAAGTGCTTTAACGCCCTGAGTAAACACACTCCAGGCCCCTGACCCTCGGCATGGGAGGTTGAGAGCTCTTACGGAGGAGACTGACAGAGGTCAGCGTCTTTGTTGAATATCTACCCCTTTAAATTTTCCACTTCCCCAATTTCTAACCACCTAGAGGCAAAATATTGATATTTTGAAAGTACCTCTCACATTTAAGACACTGCCAGGAATCATTGTAAAAATGCAGATTCATGCAAAGCTGCTGTCACCAAGCTGCTTGGGATCAATAGAGAAGTTATGCAGAAGGGCTAATACAGGCCTTACAGGAAAGGGGCCTCAAGAAGACACAAGAGCAATATTAGAGGAAGCAATATTATTTTTGACTGAGGTGATGAGAGCTGGCCACACAGAGAAAGAGACCTTTGGGTGGGATTTGGAAAAAAAAAAAAAAATGGGTGGGATTCTGACAGGCAGAGGCTGAGGAGGGTCTGTGCCCACATGTGTGGAGATCTGGAACCAGAGTCTGTGTTTAAGGAAACTGTCAGTAATTCCACTTGGCCGTATCAGAGTGTACATATGGGAATAATTAGCGTTTTCCCTCTATTTTTTCTCTTTAATATTGTTTGATGTGAAGAGGAAAAAAAAAATCCATAGAAGACATGTTATCTAATTCTGAGCCTGGGGCTGAAGGAATAAAGTTCTTTGAAAAAGAGGCATATGGCTAAGTTGTTCTTATAGTTGGCTGGCTCAAACTTAAATATAGACTGGCCTGGGATTTCAAATCCTAATAATGAAAAACTCTCAATTTAAAGTTAAACGGGGCTTAAATTAGGGCCTCGATTCTTGCTGTGTGTGTCAGACCTAACGTCTTTTCCTGTGGAACCTTCTGCAATTCTGGGAAGCAGCTCATTTCGCATAAATATCTTACTAGGTAAAAGTGAAAGTCACTCAGTTGTGTCTGACTCTTTGTCACCTCATGGACTGTAGCCTGCCAGGCTCCTCTGTCCGTGGAATTCTCCAGGCAAGAATACTGGAGTGGGTAGCCGTTCCCTGTTCCAGGGCATCTTCCCAACCTAGGGATCAGATTGAACTCAGGTCTCCCACATTGCAGGTGATTCTTTACAGTCTGAGACACCAGAGAAGCCCTATTAGGTAAATGAACATATAGATCCCTAGGACCTTCACTGGAATGTATTCTCTCTCATGGCAATTGTGAACCTCTTCCGATAATCATGCAAAGAGGAGGTAAGGGTCAGGTTTTCAAGTCAGCATTGATACAGGAAAGAAAAGGAAGCTCTCATGGGTCATGGTGTCCTTTTTCCATTTTTATTTAGGATTTGATCAGAGTTTTTCTATTCCAGGGGATCTTTTGTGGACGGTGAAAGGGATCTAATATCTAGTGCCCCATATGCAGGAAGCCTGGGCATGCATGGCAGAAAGGCTTAGCAATATTAGATACTCCAGAGGTCTACTCTCCCAGCTCAGATCCAGCACTGGCTTCTTCTGTCTGATGGAGATGAAGATATCAGCCACCTTATGTACACCTTTTGGTTTGATAGTCTAGTGCTGAGGACACCCCTGCTGTAAATACCCGCCAGTTATTACTTTTCAATGGGAGAGTATAGAAGAGTAGAGAGAGCAAGAAGAAAGGATCTTGCAAACCTTGGATATGTCTGGAAAACCAAGCAAAGGGAAGGAAGCACAGGAAATGATATACAGTTGCTTTTTAGCTGTGGATAACACTTAAAGAAAGACTGACCATTCCCAGTGCCAACCTTGTAGTTTAATACTGATGTGGCTGCATTTTAAAAATAAATAGGAATGATTCTTACTAAAGCACTGCAGTGTATCTTGGCCAGGTTACCATTTTAAAAAATCACAATGCTTCCTTTGTACAATAATGAACACATGAATACTCAAAGTCCTGAGTTTTGTTCTGAAAACATCAAGATCATAAATATGTAGTCTTTGATATATGTAAACAGATACAAAATGTGAAACATAGTATTTCATAGAAGATGGCAATGAAGAACAGGAATTGAATGCAAATTAGAGGAAAAAAGGAATCTGAATTCCCTGATTAAAAGAAAGACAACTTAGAAGACAGCCCAATTTCTCTAAAAATCAGTCTGAGTTTTAATAAAGGGATCTATGAAGGATCATGTATAACATCTTTGTCTTCCTGTGTCACATCCAACGTATTTTTTATGGTTAAAGTGTGTGTATGCTCAGTCTCTCAGTCGTTTCTGACTCATTGTGACCATATGGACTGTGGCCCACCAGGCTCCTCTGTCCATGGGATTTTCCCGGTCAGAATACTGGAGTGGGTTGCCATTTCCTCTTCCAGGGGATCTTCCAAACCCAGAGATTGAAATTTCTGTCTCCTGCATCTCTTGCATTGTCAGACAGATTCTTTACTGCTGCTGAAGCTCATTGGTTAGAGTAGTATCTATAAATCTATACAACTGCTCACCATGGTTTTGCCATTTTGTGTGTTTCAGAATACCATATTTAAGGCAGGTAAGTAACATTATTTTCTCATTAGCATCATTAATGTCTTGTTTTATGCTAATGTATTGCTATGAATCCTAAGCTCTTTCAATGAATTCTTTTATCATTTGGCCCGGTGTTAGAAGAATCACCACCGGGTGGGCAGTTCTGCTTGTTGTAAATGTAAAATCAAGAAACTGCTGATAATTTTCCCTGGGCTGAAATATCCTCCGTGCATCTCGTGGACAGAGGTCTTCCTCTTCACTGGTGGATGAGGACCAAAGGAATCAGAGAAGGAGAGAGTGCTGAAAACCCAGGATGCTGGATTTCTTCCTTTCCAATTCCTTCAAAAGTAAGGAAAATGGATGGTACTAGTTTTTAGTTTTCATCTACTTTTCCTCTTTCCTAATTTGGTCATTAAGAACAATCTTCACTCAGACTATTCAGGGATGGGATAAACAGATCAATATTGGGAGCCAAGAAGAACAGTGAATAGGGGAATGGAAAAGGGGGAGTGGCTAACAAAGCTAAGCATCTACTGGGTGCTAAACCTTATGCTATTTACATGTCACATCTTTAATTAATCTCCATGGAAACTCTCTGTAGTATCCTATCGATATAATTTTGTGGAAAAGGAAATTAAGACTCAGAGGTGAACAAATGTCCCAGGTGACACAGCGACCAAGTGTAGAGCCTCTGTGTATCTCCAAGCTGATGATATTTTAACTCTTTCCACTATTACACACGAGCGACAGGAAAGGGAAAACTGTAGCACTAAAAGGGTGCTGGGGAAATTGGATAAGGGAGAAAATTTTAGGAAGAATATACTGAAAATCATCTTAATCCTATTTAATGGTATGTGATGGAAATATGGGTATAGGGTAGCTAAATTCTTGCGCTGGTTGAGATCAAGCTGTCATTAGAGTAAGATACACAGCCCAGAGCCTTTAATTAAGCCAGTGAGAACCATGGGCCGCCTCTGGAGTAACTTCGACTGAGAGCTGGAGACCCGCCCATTCCTTCCCCAGTCCTCCAGTGAAGAGGCAGCCTGATGGCCTCTGTTTAACAGCTCCTCTTCTGGAGGGTAGGCTGTTTGCCCTCTGCTTTCCACTCGTCCTCAAGGCTAACTCTTCATATTGGCTGGCCTCTTCGATGGCATTTCTTCCTAAGGCAAACATTCCAAATACAGCCAAAACTCTGAAATTTGACCTCTAAACAAAACTTTTGGTATTTAAAAATTTTAAGTCTTTTGATAGATGATCCCAGATTAGCGCTCAACAGAATGTTGTGTACATGTGGCAGAAAGTGAGGAGCGCTTTTACAGAAGCCAGGAATGTCTCACTGTGCTTTCATCTGTCTGCTTCTCCTTCTGCTCCTTCACGCACATTCCAGCCTCCTCATCAGCCTGTTCAGAGGGCGCCAAGGCAGTTCTGCCAAGTAGGAAAATGTCTGAGATACAAGTGGTTGGTGGAAAGAAAGAAGAACCAATCTGGAGGGTTGCTTTTTAAACTACTTGAATCCAAAGGTTGTGGTTTCATGTCAAAGCTTCCTGTGGGCTCTCAGGCTCATTTCAAGAATTTCTACCAGTTGATTTGTGATGTATGTGCCCCATTCTTTGTCAATAAACCTTTCCGGTATGCATACACCACATGCCCACTGACCAATGCAGGCAAGCCAGGGATATTAACACACAGCCATGACCAGAACCATGCACAAAACCTTTCATTCTCTCCTGATTCAGTTTTCCCACCTCTAGGCCATGTCTCCCACACGGAGTCCAGATCTTACTGCAAAAACTTCTGGGTGGTAATGGATTTTCTTTTTTTTTGTCTCAGCCCTTGTTGCTCTCTTTAGTTAACTTCATCTCTGTAAGCCTTTCAGAGTGCATTCTCTTCCCTCATTCCATCCCCTGGGGATCCAGCCATCAGATCTAGTTCATATGGCCAGCGATTTGGCCTGACTTGTCCTGGGCTCACTGCCTACACCCATCCATTCCAGCCAAACCAAAATTCTTTCACTTTTATAAGTTGTTTCA